GTGTAAAAAAAAAAAATACGGTTAGAGCTTAAAGATGGAAACGCGAAAACGGCGTTTCAAAATCTTCCCACTCTGAAGGCTTAATAAAAAAAAGATAGTTTACAGACCCCCGAAATGCCGTTTTCGTATGGATGAGAGGCTGGTTTGGTGAAAAATTTGTGCGTTTAGGCCAGGGTTTGACTTCGTGTGGACGGGGCCTAAGATATATAGATTTTAAAAGTATATTCAATGTCAGTTTTGCTTAATAGTATGCGTCAACATGTAATATGAATTATTAAAACAACACTTCTACCAATTGACTCTCATTCAACAGTGCATTTCCACCGATAGACTGTATCATTTCTCTTCTTGGGCGTTCATTCAAAGCGCCCCTGAAGTGTACCGAAATAACCAATTGTATAATGATGCTAGAGAATATGAATAAATATTTGGCCAATCAGCATTGCTAAAATATATGGCTTTGGGGCTCCTGGAATTTTGGCCCTTGGTACAATGATATAGGTGATGTAGCTAGTAGTCAGTCAGTCTGTGAGGTAGAGATTATGGTGACAACTACAGCTGAACTTGAAGAGCAGCTTTCACACAATTCATAGTGATGGTGGAAAAAATCCATGTACAGGAGTTGGGCCCTGACAAGCCCAAAATAAATTGAATGCACAGAACCGACGAAAAACCTAAATCCTTCAATCAGACTTTTAGCAGGAGCTGGTTCAAGCATAAATCATGGCTGACAGCCTGTGGGACAGCTAATGTACTTTTATGTTTCCCCTGCTTTCTTTTCAAAAGTGACCGGAGTTATTTGACGTGGACACAGACTGGACATACCTAAAACACCTCTCTGACAGGTAGGGCTGATTTAAAGCACTTTTTAGAAAAGGCAAAGAAGAATGAACAATCTGGGATTCACATGGAAAATAATAGAATATAGTGTCCTTTTTCTAGATGTTTGTTCATTTGCAAACAAATTTAACCCCTAAATTATACTTTACATTATATTTTTTAGCTCTGTGACGACATATTGGACCATGCAAAACACAGATTCCCTTTCTCAAAACCTCAGAAGGGCAAGATTTATGTAGAAAAAGTAAACCTGGACATGAAATTATGTTTTGCTTTTAGTGTTTTTATAATGTTTTTTGTTGCTGGCATTCATATAAGTATGCTTGTGTGATAACTTAGTTATCACATGATTAGTTTTTGGTATACCAGCCGCCACTGTGAAGCATCCTTTATTTGGCAGTTAAAAAAGAGATGCGATTTCTACGGCATTTTCTTAAAAGTCCGATACACATGTTTGTAACACAAACATCAACACTAAATCTAAATAAAATATAAAAAAAAAAAAAACGCGAAAGCTATTAAAGCCAACTAAATTGTAGTAGCAGTTTCAAAGCTGGACCTCCTCAGCTTCACATCAGCTGCTGCTGTTGCCTAGAGACAGATTCACCACACCTACATTGCTCTTTGCCACCAAGTTATACCTGATTCTCCAGCGCTTCTTTAGAAGGAAAAGCTTTCAAAATGTGGAAATAAGTATGAAGAATCAATTCCCTCGCGTAGTGGCGTCTGTGCATAGCTGGGATTCACATGGCTCAGAACAGAAATACTACAGATAATAATGAACGCAGAATGCCACGCATCAGTCCTTCATACCCTGACCGTCTATTGAGACTGGAATACTGTGATTATTGTGTTTCTATTGACTGTTTATCTGGAGATTAGTCTTATTTATTTAATAATCTGCATATAAACCAATATAAATGGCCGTCTTAAGAGTAAATCATACTAGGAGAAAGAAAATAATACAATCAAACAAATATTGGTAAAATAAGGTTGTTGTTTTTTACATTTCCTAGTTTTAAAAAGTGTTTTCTGTTTGTACTAATTTTATTTTTTTAATGGTTAATATATAGAGATCAAAGAATGAGCAGTTTTCAATTAAGTTTAATGTCATGGAGTAGGCAAACTATCTAGCTGCTTGTTTTGTAGCTCTCATAGAGCATTTTTGCTGGACATAATTCATTGCACACAATATTTAATATATATTTAAATGGTTCTTAATAACATACCTTACACAAACTCACCCCCCTTTAGTTGCTAGAGCTATATGGTAGATTATACAGTAGAAATATATCATTAACTGTGCAATGCTAAGTCATGTGCTCCGTTATCATTTACATCTTGTTTGCTTCATTTTAACAGTTTTCTTTATTGATAATATCTTTACTAAAAGCTGCTGTATAAAATACAACATACCACCTGGAATCCTACCTAGCCCCAACCCAGTGACAGCCAGTGGAGATTTAGGCCCGTGGGTGTCTCTTATTTTTATTAATGAAAGGTGAAAGGAGGTTTTATTACGCTTTTACACATTTGGAAGAAGTAATGACCGAGATGCTGCCAGCAGAGACCACTTTAGAAATTAACCTTCTTCATAGACGTGAAAGTAAGTCCCTCTTTAAACAACAAGCAACATCTTTAGTAATTTTGCTTCAAAATAATGAACAACTCAACACAGTTAAAAAAAAAAAAAAAAGACAAATCAAACAGAGTTGTGCAAGAGGAATCTTACCCCCTAACATCAGGGCACATTTTGTTCTAATGCAATTACTCCAACATATTATTCTGGGATTGTGATGGACTGTGACTAATAAAAAGTAAAAAATCTGAAAAGGGTGACAAGCATTTGCACTCAGCTCCCAGATGAAGGCTTTTTAAAGCAATCTTTTTCTTTTCCAAGGGTTTGAAACCACTGTACGGTATTGTAGGATGCTCAGTGGCGCAGTGAGAAGCACTGCTGCCTTGCAGCAAGAAGGTTCCAGGTTCGATTTACCCGCCCGGAGTCTTACTGCATGGAGCATGTTCTCTCTGAGCATGCATAGGTTCTCTCCTGGTACTCTGTCTTCCTCCCACAGTCTAAAAACATGACTGGTAGGTTAACTGGCTTCTCTAAATTCTCTGAATGTGTGCCTGAATGGTTGTTTGTCCTATGTATGGCCCTGCGATGGACTGGCAACCTGTCCAGGGTGGACCCAGCCGTAGACTTCTGGAGATAGGCACCAGCACCCCTTATGACCCCAGCTGGGATAAAGCATTATGGAATATGGATGGATGTACAGTATGTTTTCATTTGCTTGGTTAATCTAGAGACTGAAGTTTTTGGATATTTATTGCAAAACATGTCAATCGTAATTGCATCACAGGGAAAGCATCACAGTATAATCCTCAATGGGAAATAGAAGTGGACTTTGACTTAAGAATATAGAATAACTTAACTTCTCTAAAACAAACCAAAAATCAAACACAAAATGACACCCTGACAAACATCTGCCCTCCATCTGTTGGCCTTCTGCTTTTAAGCTCACACACATCTGGAGTTGGCTCTGTGATCACACGGACGCTACCTTCATGCCGATGGCCTCGGATGTCAGCTGATTGTGATGCAGCAGGAGCCACACCAAATTAGTCGCGTTGACTAGAGCCAAGTCAGGCACAGCGGAGATGGCGTTGTTTTGGAGGTACAGGTACTTGATGCGGGAGGGAATGGATGGAATAGCTGTCAGGCCCCGCCCATCACAGTACATGGCTACGGGGAATGTAGGGGGGCAGTCACACTCTTCTGGACACTCCCCTCCTGGTGTGTCTGCCTGCAGGGAGCCAAAGTATTGTGCATGGCCTTGGCGGTGAAACAGCCAGCCCAGAGGGTCCCATCCATGGGAGGCACAGAGTGGAAGCAGGGCAGACAGGAGGATTACCGTCTCCAGACGCATTTTCACAAAGCACAACAAATCTTCACTGTTGCCTGACAAACAAAAGAGAGACAAATGAATTCAGAGTAAGTCTCCTATACTGAAATACTTGGCGGATTCAATTTAAAGTCATTTCATCCAAGAAGCCGTAAAAAGGCTGACATTTCCTATTAAAACACTATGATGGAGTATTAGGGCCAAGCTAGAGATTTTGTTTTCTTCTATTTCGAGAATAAAGTCGTAACATTATGAGAACAAAGTTGTAATATTACAAAAAAAAATTTGTAACATTGCAAGAATAAAGTTCTAATATATTATGGAGAATAAAGTCGTAACATTACGTGAATAAAGTCGTGATATTACGAGAATAAAGTTGCAACATTGCAAGAATAAATTTATAATATATTATGGAGAATAAAGTCGTAACATTACGTGAATAAAGTCGTGATATTACGAGAATAAAGTTGTAACATTGCAAGAATAAATTTATAATATATTATGGAGAATAAAGTCGTAACATTACGTGAATAAAGTCGCGATATTACGAGAATAAAGTTGTAACATTGCAAGAATAAATTTATAATATATTATGGAGAATAAAGTCGTAACATTACGTGAATAAAGTCGTGATATTACGAGAATAAAGTTGTAACATTGCAAGAATAAATTTATAATATATTATGGAGAATAAAGTCGTAACATTACGTGAATAAAGTCGTGATATT